TTTGCATTTTTGAGTTTTTAAGAGTTCTCTGTATGTTCTGGGTGCAAGTCAATGTTTTGATGTGTGCTTTGCAAATATTTTCTTCCAGTCTGTGGCCTGTCTTCATTTGATTTGATTTTAATTTTGAGGAAGTCCAAATTTATGTATTTGTTTAGTTCTAGGGCTGGGGCAGATAAAATACAAGGTGAGCTTAGCATTTTGTGATGCCAGAGTGCTTAAGAAATGTTGAGGTACGTTAAAAGGGCACAGGAACTTCCAAAGGCTAAAAGGGCTCACAAAAGCTTTAAAATTTGAGCAACAACATAAATAATGATAGCACTGAATTATAAGCAATAGAATAAAATAACAATTTAGATTTTTCTCATCTATGAGCATGGATTATCTCTTCATTTATTTAGATGTTTTCTAATTTTTCTGTCATATTTTGTAGTTTTCAGTGTACAGGTCTTATAAATTTTTCATTAAATGTATTCCAAAGTATGTTATGTTTTGCTATTCATAAAGCACTTGCTTTTTTTTTTGTCATTTTCATGTGTTTTCTGCTAGTATAGAGATACTCAATTAATTTCTGTATATTAAACGTGTATCATACAACTATGGTATATTCACTTATTAATTGCAGTTTTGCTTTTTTCTTTGTAGAATCGTTAAGATTTTCCACATTGACCAGCACGTTGTTTGCAGTAAAGACCATTGTATTCTTCCTTTTAAATCATGTTTTTCATTTCTTTCTCTTGGTGTATTGCAATAGTTTGAACCTCTAATAGAAAAAGTTGAGGAGAAGTATGAACTCCGTTATTTTTGCCTTGATCCTGACCTTAGATGGAAAGCATTCAGTATTTCATCATTAAGCCTATTGGTAGCTCTAGGTTCTTTTTGTAGATTTCCTTTAATGAATTGACAATGCTCACATATATTTCTAACTTGCTGAGAATTTTTAAAAATGAAATGTATTGAAATTTTCAAATGATTCCCTGCATCTAATGGTCATCAGTTTTTTGTTTGTTTGTTCTTACTCATTTTCTATTTTTTTCTCATAATTACAGGAATCTTATATAGGTACTGAATTTATGTCTACACAAAGAAATAATATCAGAGAAGGAATAAATAAAGGTAAATTAAAATGCTTTCTTATTCTTAACTGACCTAAAATATAACTATGTGTTTACATTAATAATAATACCATTGTATCAGGCAATTAGTGTATACGGAAAAATGAAATAAGTGATACTAATGTTACAAGCAATGCAATGAAGGAATTGAGTATACTCTTTTATAACGTGTCTATACTATCTAGGAAACAGTATAGTGTTATTTTATGGCATGTTTTCAAAATATATATTGTTAACTCCAAGAGAAAGACTACTTTTTTTTAAAAAGAGGTACATTTTGTGTGTACTAAATGGTCTATGAAATGAAAGAAGATGGAAAAAGAAGAGGAATAAAGAAAAATTAAATACATATGAAACAGTTACATACATGGTAGATATTAATGGGATTATATTATCACTTTAAGTTTGAATGGTGTAAATACACCAATAAAAGACAGATTGTCAGAATTAATAAAAAATAATACTCAAGAACATGTTTTCTATAAGAACCTCATTTTTAATTATAAGGACTCACATAAGTTAAATGTAAGGAGGTTGAAAAGGTATTCTAACACTGACAAAAGAAAGCTGGAATTGCTACATTAATTTCATATTTAGAGTGCCTAAAATTTTTAAAAAGCAGACAATACCAATGGCTGGCAAGGATGCTGAGCAACTAGAATCACTCAGTGCTGGTGAATGCAAATAGTACAGTCACCTTGGAAGACAGGTTGTGAGTTTCTTACAAAGCTGAACATAGTATTACCATATGATTCGGAGAACACACCCCCTAGGTATTAACCCAAGTAATTTGAAATTTTATGTCTATACAAAATCTTGCATATAAATTTGTATCATAGCTTATGTAATGACTGTCAGTAACTGGAAGCAAGTAAGTTGTTCTTCAGGAGGTGAATGGATACACAAACTGTGGCACAACCATTTAATAGAACACTATTAATCAACAAAAAGAAATGAGCTATTAAGTCACATTAGTCTGTTTTCACACCACTGATAAAGACATACCTGACCCTGGGAAGAAAAAAAGGTTTAATTGGACTTTCATTTCCACATGGCTGGGAAGGCTCAGAATTATGGCAGGAGGTGAAGGGCACTTGGTACATGGCAGTGGCAAGAGGAAAAATGAGGAAGAAGCTGAAGTGGAGACCCCTGATAAACCCATTAGATCTCATGAGACTTATTCACTATCATGTGGGTAGCATGGGAAAGACCACCCCCACGATTCAATTACCTCCCCCTGGGTCCGTCCCACAAAACATGGGAATTCTGGGAGACACAATTCAAGTTGACATTTAGGTGGGGACACAGCCAAATCATATCACAAGCCATACAAAGACATGGATGAATATTAAATGCCCATCCCTAAGTTAAAGAAACCAGTCTGAAAGGGTTAGATAGTATGTGATGATACAATTCATTTGATATTCTGGAAAAGGCAAAACTATAGAGACAGTAAAATGATCAGTTGCTTCCAGGAGTTGAGTGGGTGAGGGGGAAGGGTTGAATAGGGTAAGCACAGGGGATTTATTAGGGTGGTGAAGCTATCCTGTATGATACAGTAACGGTGAATGTAACACTATGCATTTGCCAAAACCCTCAGAACAACTGTGACCCCTAATATATGCAAACATAAAAAAAAATTAAGAGGTCTGATGATCCCAGGAAAGAATGGATAGTATGACAAAACAGAATAACTATATTACAAACATATGAAACAACTTCTATAATGAATATCAAGAGAAAAAGTGGTGGCACGAGTAACTCTGGAAGTGAGTAGGACCTCTAAGAATAAAGTTAGAAGGAACACAACGTTCAGAAAAGAAGGACCTTCCAGGATTCTGGCTGTTGCCTATTGTCAGCCCTAGAAGGACCCTGGCAAGAGGCTTGATGTGACATGCTCCCACTTCTGCAGTGGGGTGGGAGTGGGGTTTCAGGAAGGTGAGGCTGTGGTCTGAAATGGATAACTTGGATAATCAAAGGCTAGATTTGGGATAGGAGTAAAATGAATGAAAATAATGGTTTGGATGAAAAAGCAGCTGGGAGGGAGAGAATGAATTGGTCTTTCACTCAGATTTCAAGATATTTGAGCTGCATCCAGATGGAGAAGACTCTCACACAACCAAATTAAATAATAGGCCATCTGGGAGGGAAATTTTATTGACTTTTATTCATAAAGCTTCAATTTTTACTCATTTAGTATTGTAAGTTCTATTGAGCTGCATGTCCTCTGAGATATTTTAGTTAACAACAGAAGTGATTCACAAAGGAGATTATAGTAGGATACGGTCTAAAAATAATATTTTAAAACTGCCATTTATTAAATATTCAATATGTGGCAGACCCTGTGCCAGGTGATTTAATACATTTCTTACATTACAATAGTCCTGCAAGAAAAAAATGGTCTAGCAAACAGAGTATTGCTGTCACCTGTTCTTGGCTGTGTGGGGATCTGATCACAGCTGGCCATAAGTGGCAAGCTCACTTATACCACAGGCAGGAAGTTGGGGAACCCCCAGAAGATGAGGTGTTGGTGTAAAGGGGAGATGTCTGTTCATCTAAGGGATTGGGGGTTGAGGAAGGGCAGGCCCCGGCAGGGGTAAAGATGAATAACCCATAGGAGGACTTTGGAATCCCCACCCCAGAACCAACAGGGCCAGCCTCTAGCTCTGGTTGAGGAGGAGCCCCATGGGAAGGTGTGCACCTTCTCCCAGAGGTCCTACAATCACGGGTGCTGAAGCACCCGGGGAAGCACCTGGCCTGGGACTCGCAGCCATTCTCTGCTAAAGGTGCAGCTGGGCAAATGGTCCACCGTGAGGGCAGCAGAGCATCTCCCACCCATCCCTTTATCAAAGAGCCAGGAGCCAGGGGGAGGAGCCTGCTGAGTGAGGACTGAGGGTCCACCCACCCCACATAGAGGGACCATAGAATACAGCTCAGCCCCTCCTGTCAGCCCTTGAAGACCCTGGCAACATTGGCACCCCAACCACACCCCTCCTCTCTCTGCCACCTCAGGGGACTCAGAGTCAGAGACTTGGTCTGAGGAGAGCAGACACCCTAGGCAGAGGATGGAGCTCCAAGTTCTGCAAGGAATCAAGGTCAGAAACCTGAGGGAGGATTGAGGCACCCCCATGACCCCGAGAGCATCTGCACCCCTCGCCACTACTCTCCCCCTCACCCCCACGCGGGCAGAAGCGGGTTCCGCCCCCGCTGTCAATCCAGGGAAGTTCCAGGCCTGCGGGCCGGATGTGACCTCCGCTGGCTTCTACCTCTGGGATCTGAGAGAAGCGAGTGCGTCTTTCTGTGAGGGGCGTCTTGAGGGCGGCAGAAGGCAGCGGGCCCAGGAGGCAAGATGAGAGCTGAGGGAGAACTGAGGACACCCCTCCCCGAATAGAGGGCCCCAAATAATCCAGTGCCGACCCTGGAGCCAGCCCTGAACCAACAGAGGACCAAATTATCAGGCTGAGACAATCCCCCACCTCAATGCCCAAGGAGACTCTGAGTCGGGTCTATGGTGTGACTTGGGCAGAGGCAGTTCCATAAAGGGTGGGGCCCCAGGCCTTTCCAGACGTCAACATCAGGACTCTGAGAAATTATGGAGAGGCTCCACCCCATCCCGATAGAGTCCATCTTTGTCCTTGCTGTCAACGCAAGGAAGCTCAGGCTTGGTGCTCCGCCTTGCGCATTAGGGCTCAGAGAGACGTGAGAGCCTGGTTCTGACGGGCGACTTGAGATCCGCTGAGAGCAGCGGGCCCAGGCTCTGAGAGGAGGCAAGATGAGACGCTGAGGGAGGACTGAGGACCCCCCGTCCCCAGAGAGAGGACCCCAAATAATCCAGCACTGCATCTGCTGCCAGGCCGGGATCACCCCGCGGGGGCAGACTTCTCAGGCTGGGTCTTTGCGCACTTCCGCCCCCTCGGACCCCGCCACTTAAGCCTCAGGGAACTCTGGGGTCAGAGCTTGGTGTGACCAGGGCAGGGCTGGTTAGGAGAGGGCAGGGCCCAGGTTCTGCCAGGCATCAAGGTCAGGATCATGAGGGAGGTCTGAGACCCCACAGAGCAAGGCTCCATCTTTGCTGTCAGCCCTGGGAAGTTCCTGGCATGGCCACCAGGCACACAGATCCTGATTTGTGCATCCTGGACTGACCGAGGGAAGGGGCTTGATATCACGAGCACGACCTGCGGGGAGCACAGCCAGGGCTCAGTCCCTGCTGGGAGACAAGGGAGGCCTGTAGGAGGCCTGAGGGGACCCAGGAGCCCAGGACGGGGGCCCACCTCCGCCCCCATCTCAGACTGAGGCGCATCTCCATTCGGCCTTGGGAATATGACAGAGGGAGACCCAGGTCCACAGAGAGGGTCTCAGGTTTAGCCCTGCCAGGATCAAGGGGAGGAAGAAGAAGGAGGATTCAGGAGACCTTGGACTCCAGGTCAGCGGGGACCTTGGCACTTGGAGGTTCCAGGCATAGTGGCCACATGCGGTGCGTCCTCACTGTGCCTTCGGGGTGTCAGAGAGGAGAGGGTTGTGGTCTGAGGAGTGAACCCTCAGGTCAGCCCAGGGAGGAGTCCCAGAGCCCTGAGGGAGGACTCAGTCGACCAATTATTGCTGAGGTAGAAAACCTGCCCCTGCCATCAGTCCTGGGAGGCCCCAGGCAGGATTCTAGGAAAGAGGGGCACCTCCCCACTTCCTAGTTGGGGTTCCCCAAGAGACAGTGGCCTTGGCCTGCAAAACCCATTCACAATTCAGCAGGAGGGAAAGGGATGGACCTTGTCAGGAGTAAATCTGAATACCTGGAGGACACCCAGAGAGAGGAAGCACCCCTGAAATCTGTTCCATCTGTCAGCCTTTGGAATGCCATGCAGGGGTGTCCATGTAGCACCACTTCACTTTCTGTCTCCCACGTCTCAGAGAGGTGGGGCCCTTGGTCTGAGGCAGGTCCTCAGGTCAGCAGAGGGGTGCACACCTGGTCAGCACAGGGTGGAGCCAGGGATCTGCCGGTAGTCAAGGAGAGGAAAATGGGTGAAGACTGAAGGTAAGAAGTTACCCCCTCACATGCCAAAGAAAAAGGGACCTCACAAATCCCTGCTTCCTCTGTTTTCATCCCTGGGAAGCCCCAGGTAGGGGAGGCGTGTGCCATGCTCTCATTTCTGCCACGTGGTTGGGGGTGGCGGGTTTCATGGAAGTGAGCATCTGGTTTCAAGGGGATGATGACAGGTCAGCAGATGGGGAGCCACAACTGGTCAGCAGAGGGAGGAGTCTCAGGATCTTTAGGACTCAAGGTGTGCCTCCTTCATGAGGATTGGAGATACTACCCATCCCATAATGAAGGGACCCCACAGAGTCTCACTGTCCCCTGTCCTTGGCACTAAGGGGACCTGATCACGGGTGGCCCTAGATGGGAAGCTCACTTATAACACAGGCAGGAAGTTGGGGAACCTTCAGGGAGATGAGATCTTGGTGTAAAGGAATACGTCTGCTCATCTAAGGGGCTTGGAGTCGAGGAAGGACAGGCCCCGGCAGGAGTAAAGATGAAAAACCACAGGAGGACTTTGGAGGAATCCCCATCCCAGAACCGAAGGGGCCAGCCTCTGCCATCAGCCCTGGACAACTGCACACCGGGTGATGGGATGTGGGGTCCATCATTTCTGTTTTGGAATCTCAGGCAGGTAAGGACTGTGTTCTCAGAGGACGACTTTGAGCCAACAAAAGGAGCCCCATCAAGTCCACAAATAAAGTGGTCACTGAATCTGCCAAGAGTCAGGTGAGAAACCTTGAGGGTTTCCCCTGGCCAGAACACAGAGGAGGGTCACACAGAAGTCTGCTCTGCCCCTGCTGTCTCTCCAGAGATCATGTGCAGGACTATCTGTTGAGGCCCCTCTCTTACACTGGGATCATTGGTCTCAGGGAGGGGAAGGCTTTGGTCTGAGAGGGCTACACTTAGGTCAGCAGTGGGAGGGTCCCAGGTCATACTCAGAATCAAGTGGGGGCCAAGGGGACCCCACATACCAAACACATGGGACCCAGCCCTACCCTGCCCCTTCTGTCAGCCATGGGAAGTCACAGGGAACCATGGGTGTTTCCATTTCCCTGGTTTCCTCTTCCAATGTGTCCTGGAGATAGAGCTTTGGTTTCGGGACGTGGCCCAGGTCAACAGAGGGTGGGTCCCAGCCCCAGATGGGCATCAAGATGGGGAACAAGCAGGCTTCTTACCCCAGGACACATGGACCCAGCTGAATATCACCACCTCTTGCTGTCCTTCCTGGGTAGTCCTGGATGTATGTGGCCAGATATGGATCTCCACATGTCCTCTTTCATATCAGGAAAGTGAGCTATTGATCTGAGAGTGTCTCATGTCAACAGAAGTGTGTGTTTCAGGCCCTGGCAGGAGAAAGGTGAGAGCCCTAAGCTCACAGGAGACCATCCACTCCAAAACAGTGAGAAACGCAGTCTTGCCCACCTTTCTGACAGTGCTGGGGTGCCAGGATGGTTCTTGCAGTTTGCAGCCTGAGGGCTCCATGGTTCCTCTTCTAGAAGCCCCAAAAACTGAGCAGTGAGGCTTTTGTCTGAGAGAGTGTCTTCAGGTCTCAGAGCAGAGGAAACCCAGGCAGTGCCAGCAGTCAAGAGGAGATGATCACCCTCAACATGCAAAGGGCCCAACCTGCCTAAGTACAGAAAGGGACCCCCAACTTGCAGCCTCGCCTGCCCTACCTTCAGTCCTGGAGCATTCTGCTCTGATGTCCAGCTGCATCTTGAGCAGCCTTCTCACGTTCTTTTTCAGATTCTTAGAGAACAGGCCACGCAGTAGGACAGGAGCCCCAGAAGGCCCAAGAGGATCACTGGAGGAGAAGGCCTGTAAGTAGGCGTTCGTCAGACTCTCCATGGTTCATATTTCAGCTGAGTCTGCTCTCACGCTCCCTCTCTCCCCAGGCCTGTGGTTCCCCGTCACCCAGATCCTTCCCACAGTGCTGCCTGCTGATCTGACTAGAGTCACCATGCCTCTTAGGCAAAGGAGTCAGCACTGTAAGCCTGAGGAAGGTCTTCAGACCCAAGAAGAAGCCCCCGGCCTGATGGGTGCGCGGGATCTCCCAGTTGAGGAGCAGGAGGCTGCCTCCTTGTCTTCTACTCTGAATGCAGGTACTCTAGAGGAGGTGCCTGCGGCTGAGTCACCGAGTCCTCCCCAGAGTCCTCAGGGAGCTTCTTCCTCCCCCACTGCCATGGATTCCATCTTTTGGATCCTATTTGATGAGGGTTGCAGCAGCCAAGAAGAGGAGGGGCCGAGTACCTCGCCTCACCTGGCAGACCCTGAGCCCTTCCTCCAAGATACATTACATGAGAAGATAATTGATTTGGTTCATTTACTGCTCCACAAGTATCGAGTCAAGAAGCCGATCATGAAGGCAGAAATGCTGGAGAGTGTCATCAAAAATTATGACGAATACTTTCCTGAGATATTTAGGGAAGCCTCTGAATGCATGCAGCTGCTCTTTGGCATTGACGTGAAGGAAGTGGACTGCTTTAGCCACTCCTACTTCCTTGTCACCTCTCTCGGCCTCTCCTATGATGGTATACTGGGTGATGAGCACAGCATGCCCAAGTCTGGCCTCCTGATAATAGTCCTGGGCATAATCTTCATGGAGGGCAACTGTGCCTCTGAAAAAGTTATGTGGGAAGTGCTGAGCATTATGGGGGTGTATGCTGGGAGGGAGCACTTCCTATTTGGGGAGCCCAAGAAGCTCCTCACCCAAGATTGGGTGGAGGAAAACTACCTGATGTACCGGGAGGTGCCCGGCAGTGATCCCACATGCTATGAGTTCCTGTGGGGTCCAAGGGCCCACGCAGAGACCAGCAAGATGAAAGTTCTTGAGTATATAGCCAATGCCAATGGGAGGGATCCCACTTCTTACCCATCCCTTTATGAAGAGGCTTTGAGAGTGGAGAGAGAGGGAGTCTGAGCAAGAGATGCAACCAGGGCCAGTGGGCAGGGAACTGAGCCAATGCATGCTTCAGGGCCACATCCAGCAGCTTCCCTGCCCTGTGTGAAATCAGACCCATTCTTCCCTCTGTGTTTGATGAGAGAAGTCAATGTTCTCAGTAGTGGAGGGCACAGTGGATGGAGGGGAATACATTGTATAGTGTCTTTAGGTTTCTCTTCCATCAGGTGACTTGGAGATTTCTTTCTGTTTCCTTTTGTTAATTTTCAAATATTGCTCCTGTAATAAAAGATTTAATTAGTTTCAACATCTAAGTGTATGGATGACACTGATCACACACGTAGGTTTACTTATCCATTTCAAGTGTAAGAGTTTGCCATTTTGTAAAATATTTTGGGAAACCTTCCATCTTGCTATGATTTGGAATAAGATACCACGACATTGGAACAGGCATTTTCTTGGAGAATGTAAGAACTTAGCAATAAAAATGAACCAGTGTTATGGAACAGAGAAATAAAGGGAAAAAGTCATTAATTCTCACCTTCTTATCTATATTTATCTGTTGTTCTATGAAATTATATCACACATACATATGCACCAAGCAAATGCAGCTTCCTATTGAATTGCAGATTCTCTGAGATGTCCTAGACAATACAAAATATTCCAGAGGAGAAAGTGGTAGCACCTGGGGTCAAGGTAATACTGGAAATAGCTGTCAATCATTAAATATCCAATATATACCAGGCATCATCCCAGGCATTTTAATACATTTCCTACATTACAACAGTCCTACAGATAATGGTCCATCAAACCTGTTTTCCGGATGAAGAACCTGAGTCTCATGGAGCTTGGTAACCTGCCCAAGATCATATGGCTGATAAATCACAAGTTTGGTCTGAGTTCATCGAGAGCCCATGCTATTCTCACTCTTCACAGCCTGAAGTACACCTCTTTCCCTTAATTTATTTGTCTTCTCAGCACTGCATAATGTGTCTCAAGTGACCAAAAGAAGGACCCTATGGCCATGGTACTCAAGGCAGGCCTACAAAAGGAAGGAGACAATGAGAATGAAACACGATCTGGGAATAGTCTGTGGGCTTTATCAACCTAGGGTCCTCCTGGCTGAGCCCTGGGGTTCCTGAGAGCTGACTACACAGATGCAGGAATTTCTGACCAGCCCTAACACTGTCCTGTATTATAGCGGCCTTCCCTCAGTCTCTGCCATGTTCCCTCTCTTCTAACTGGAATCTGGCCTCCCTGCTGTTTGCTGTGAAATTTGAGTGGAATCAACTGCCCTTCTATTTACACATCCTGTCATCCCAATTGTGTGTCTAAACACACTCTCAAACTTTTCTAAATAGATGGTGAGTGGAATGTGATTTAGCACATGATCTACTGTTCTTGAGATATAAACTTAGAGACTTTTTGAAACCACCCTGATATTTGCAATGGAAATTTAATGGGGTGTTTTATTTGAAACTGGTCACTAAACACATGCAAAGATGAATGAACTTACCTTGGTGGTCAATAACCAAAGTCTCCCACACAAGCTGGAGATGAAGAAAGATCATGGAGATCATTGTGGAGAAAACTACTGAGGCTGAACTCCTAAGACCCGAGTCTCCCAGGAGGTGAAAAATGCTTCCTTGGTGGGCATACTAATTTGAGTTTAAAAAGTTAAACAAGCTTTTACTTTATCTTATCCAGTATTTGCCCCACGGGAAAATATGGGCTTTCGGTGTGCCTAGAGACACTCAACAGGTGTTGAGGTGTGTGGAGGGTAGCAGACACTCACAAGTTAATATTTTGACCAGGAATCAAATGGAGGAAAAAATCTACACCTACTAAGATTACAGAGGTTATTTCAAAGGGCAGTGCTATTGAGTGAAGAAAAGGAAACTTTCCTGCTGAGATTTACAATACTGTTTGAAAATTAAGTGTCATCCTGCATTTGAGAGCACCTTTCACAAAGTAGGCACTTGAAAAAGGTGGACAATTTCCAGGCAAATTAGGCTTTGTTCAGAAACTCCTCCAACAAATGAGGAAGAGGACTGTTGTCCTAATACATTATATTCACTTTTAGTTGAACATCTACTATGTAACGGGTTATGGGAGAGGCTTCAGCTCCTCATCCACATCTTGTCCTTTTCTCCCTCTTGAAAAAAAGGGAGGCAATACCTTGCCAGACCCCTATTCATTAAGAAGGACCATGTGACATCACTTTCCCACTTAAACATGAGCAGAAATATTATTCAGCCATTTCTATAGAAAATGCTTCAGGAGCTATGGATTGCTTCTCAAGTCATGACTATACAGAACACTGACCACTCCATTTCTACACTCAGGGACTTAAGTGATACACCTTTGCTCCCTTAGGTTTTAAAAACCATATTTTGTGCCTTTGTGCCCTGAGAAGGAGTGGTTATCTTCAAAAGAGGCGCTCAACCTCAGGATACCAACTACAGGAATTCCTTCTTGCTATCTGCAGCCTTCATGCCCTTGAGGCACACCCATCAATCTGCTGAGAGCTGTGACATGAATCCCCCATCAACCTTGTTGTTTAGCACCTAACCAACACTCCCCTGTACCTGGCCTGAGGCAGGCCAGCTTGGGGTTTTATCCTTGCTGTCTCTACTCAGACAACAGCTCAGCCTAAGTTAGGAACTGCTGAGGATTTTAACCGCAGATATCTCCGTTTTAAATTTGCCAGTAAGAAATTTCCTTCCAAGATGGTCATGATTTGGGTAGAAATGGGAGGAGATGATGAAGCCTTTTGGCGAGTCTCTTAATGGTTGGTAAATAATCATCATTTCAATGTGATGAGTGGCAAATCACTATGATTAAGAGGTATTATTCAAATAATCCTCCATGTAATGCCTGGCTTTTAATTAACTAATCATCCTAACTGGGTGGCTATGAGGTTTTGCTTTCTGAAGTTGATCCAGAGAGGTGAGGCTAGGTTGTCCTACCAGAGACAGCTAGGGCCGTGGTATCCCCGAGACAGGCAGTTAAGACTGCAGGCTGTCACAGATGATGGGGACAGTGAGAATCGGGACACTCTGCAGTCCCCAGAGTACCCCCAGAGCCACATTAGGATTTGGAAAGGAGCTGGGTGGGAGAGGGCTTTGGGGCCCTGAGGGATTAGGCTGTGCTGAGGATCAGCCAGGCCAGAAGAGGCGTGAGGAGGAGCATGTGCCAGATCCAACTCTACTGCCCTGGGCCAGCTGTGGGGAGAGGGACATGGGAGCAGAACGAGGCTCGACCATGTCTCGAGCCAGGTGCTCCTGGGAATGGCCAGGGACAGACCTTTGTGTGGCACTTGCTGGAAACAGGGACACCGCATGTCCCTTCTTGGAGAGGGCCAATGTGTGTGGAGAGTGCTCACCCTGCTTTTCCTAAGGACTGAAGGGCTGCAGGAGCTAGGACGTTCCACGCACCCCCACAGCCTCTCCTGGAGGCCTGCCCTGGATACAGTGTCCTCCACAGCAGCCTCCCCTGTGGGCACACATCACACAGGACAGAGCCAATCTTGACCATGGCAGAGGAGAGCAGATGGGAGCCTCCCTGTGCTCGTCTGTGGGAAGGTCTTGAGTGTTTCCAGATGCCCGGAGCCTGCCCGATGAGGGGCTAGTGAGAGGCCTCTCAGTCATGGTTTCACTTCCCTGAGAAACCTCCCTGTTCCATCAGCCATGCCTAAACCCCTGCTTTGAACTCCAGCCTCCATGGCAAGGGGCTGACCTCCTGCCTTACTGTTGCCAGCCCTTCTCTGTGGCAATCAACCCTGCTAAGTGTTCTGTAGCCCTTCTTGAGCAAGTATGGGGTCCCAGAACATCCAGCCTTATTAGGGGGCTCCTGCCACAGTCCAGGTGAGAGGAATTGTGAAGCCAAATTAGGGCAGTGGTTGAGAGGCTAGAGATGAGGGATGGATTTCAGAGGTATTGGGCAGGGGGAAGAGGCTGGGCTTGTGGGCGAGTCCAGCTTAGAGGCCACGGGGGAGGAGATCATTCTTTAATGAGATTTATTTCATTTTTACCTAGTGTCCTTTGGGTCCACCTTGATCCCATCCAGGATGTCACATTATATTTAGTCAGAAGGTCCCCTTAGATTCCTCTTATCTGTGACAGTTTCCTTGTTTTGGATGACGTTGACAGTTTTAAGGAGTATTGGTCAGGTATTTTGTAGAATGACCCTCAGCTGTGGTTTGTCTGGTACTTTTCTCATGCTTAAGCTGGGGTTATGGGTTCTGGGGAAGAGGACAATAGCGGAGAACTGCCATTCTCATCACTTCATATCAAGGCTACATACTATCAGCATGACTTATTACTAATGACGTTTACCTTGAACACCTGGCTGTGGTAGTGTTCGCCAAGTATGGTTACTGTAAAGTTTCTCTTTTATTCTCCTATTTCATAGTGTCCTCTTCGGAAGAAAGTTACTCTGTGTGACCTACACTATGAGCAGTGGGGAATCACACCCTGCTTTCTTGTGAGAGTGGGAGTATCTGCATAAATTGTTTGGAATTGTTTTCCATGAGAAATTTGTCAATTCACCCTTATTTTTGCATTTAAATAATCATTTATTTATCTCAGTGTGGACTTATGGATACTAATTCTATACTTTGTTTAAAATCCAATACAACTTTATATGTTTTGCTGCTGAAATGGCTCCAGGTTTGGCCATAGGGCACTCTTTCTCCTAGTTCTCTTTGTACATGTCTTTCTTATACATTTGTCAATGTATTTAAAAAATTTTTTTAGCATTTCATTACAGTCAACCACAATAAGATGTTCCAGGATTAGCCTGCGTGTTTCCCGATCCACTTCTACCATCAGCAATTTTTCCACTGAGCTCATTTTTTTTTTTTGAGAATGGTATTAGAAATCTAGATCTGTGCATTAGGTATGCTCATTCCTACTGGGGTGTCTGTGGCCTCTGCTGACAGAGAAAGGAATTATATGTGTGCATAGTAACCTGTTTTTGTTAATAATCTATAAATATTTCTTGATGCAATGATCTGCATA